ATGTTACCATTGGTAAATATCTTGACATTGTTCCTTGGATTTTCCTACCCTTTTTACCCTTGATTTTTATAGTTACTATGAGCTGTGAATTGTACTTTCCTTTATCTCCCATTAAGTACTCTGAGCCATCCACATTATTTGTCTGAGTCCACTGGGACTAAAGACCCATACTTTTGAGGTGATTGGCTGGAATCAGAGGTTTGAGTTTGACCTTGGAGTAGTTTCTCTTCCAAGTCAACTGGCTGGTGTGGGAATTAAATGAGGACTCTGAGCCCATGGATTTCTACAGTTGTCTTCTGACTTGTAATTTTTTTCACTGGTTTTTTTTTTTCCATTATACTTGGAATCCTAAAGAAAGTAGTTTATCGCCAATTAAGCTGAAAATTGTAAAATTATATTACAAGGTAAGGTGACTATGGCTGAATTGAAGTTTTAATGCATTTTCATATATTTTCATGACATTGAAAGAAAATATATTTGTCATGAAAAAGGATGGAGTTCTTAGAGATGGCCACACTATCTAGCTGTGGCCATATTGACCTTTGTAACTTGCATGTATAAAAAGTGCTGGATTCCTGGAATGTATTTGCAAAAGTAACTTTATATTTATCTTTCACTGTCACTTTAAACTTGCTGTGTAGACATTTTTCCTTTCCATTTCCCTTGATGATCATTTGGACAGGACCCGATTTTTCTGTTCACTTTTTTTAGCAGTTTTATTAAAGTATAATAAAATATAAAAATACCCATTGTGAATGTACAACTCAGCAATATTGTTAGTACATTTTAGTGAGCTGTACATCCATCATGACAGGCCAGTTTTAGAACATTTCCATGATTTCACCTAAGTTCCTTAAAGCCTGCTCCTTCTTCGGTCCCAGGAATCACTAATCTACTTTCTGCCTCTATAAATTTGACTTATCTGAACACTTCGCATAAATGGAATCATATAATATATTGTTTTTCTTGTGTCTGGCTTGTTTTCCCTGCCGCAATGCTTGTGAAAGCTTATCCATGTTGTAACATGTATACATATTTCATTGCTTTTTATTACTAAATAGTATCCTATGCTGTGGATATGCCACAGTTTTGTTTATTCACTCACCAATAAATGGATATTTAGGTTGTTTCTATTTGGGACTATTATAAATAATGATGTTATGAATATTCATGTATAAGTCTTTGTGTATGTATAGATTTGCACCATTAACTGATCTTAAATATAAAGGCTAGTTTTAGAATCTTTATTCTGTCTCTTTCATTTATATACCTATCCCTTTACTAATATCAAAATTTCGTGATTATTGTAGCTTTATGTTGTTTTAAAATTGGGTAATCTAAGTCTTCCAACTTTGTTCTATCCTAAAATTATTTTGCTTAATCTGGATCCTTTGCATTTCCATATAAATTATTGGATCAATATGTCAGTCAGCGTTCAACCAAAGAAGCAAAACCAGTAGGAGACACATAAAGAGATTTATTACAAGTAATTGACTTATGGGATTGTAGGGGCTGACTATGCAAATCTGATACCCATGGGCTAGCAGACAGGAAGATCAGCCTAGAACTCATGGTCTTGGGCTAACGCTGCAGTCTGCAAATAAATTTTTTTCTTTTTCTCAGGGAAGCCTCTGCCCTGGTTTTAAGGCCTTTCAACCAATTCAATCAACCCATCAAGATTAGCCACCATAAATTCTCTTATTTAAAGTCAAATAAGACATTTATTACATCTGCAAATATTCTTCACAGCAACTCCTAAATTAGTGTTTTGTTATATAGCTTGAGACTGAAGACTAGCAAAGTCGACACATCAAAAACAATTACAATCAAGTTGTCAATTACTACAATAAAAGTCTGCTGGGATTTTGAAAGGGATTTTGTTGGTTCTACAGATCAACTTGGAAAGAACATTCATCTTAACAATATAGAATCTTCCAAACAAAAATATGAAATTTCTCTATTTTTGTCTTTATAAATTTATCTTAGCAATGTTTTGTGGTTTTCCACATGGGAAGATTTTTAATTACTAATTCAATTTCTTTACTTGTCATAGATCTATATATATTTTCCACTTCTTGCATCAGTTTTGGTAATTTGTGTCTTTCTAGGAACTTGTCAATTTCATCTAAATTATCAGATTTATTGACACAAAATATTTCATAATATTCTCCTATAATTATTTTAATTTATATAGCACCAATAGTAATGTGCTTTCTTTCATTTCTAATATTGGTGATTTGAGACACCCTCTCTCTTATTTTCTCTGTCACTCTAACCAAGGGTTTGTCAGTTGTGTTCATCTTTTAAAACAACGAACTTTTAGTTTCATTAGTCTTCTCTATTTTTTTGTTTTGATTTCTATTTTAATAATTTCCACTATTCTCTCTGTTACTTACTTTCTTCTATTTACTTTTAGTTTACTCTTTTTTTCCATTTTTTAAGGTAGATATTTAAAGTTATCCATTTTCTGCTCAGCATCATTTTAGATTCTTTCTATATATTTTACATACTATGTTTTGGTGTCATTTAGTTCAAAATATTTTTTACTTTTCCTTCTGGTTTTTTCTTTGACCCACAGATTATTCACAAGTGTGTCATTTTAATTGCCAAAGAGACTGAGTTTTACCAGATAGCTTTCTGTAATTAATCTCTAACTCAATTCTGTTCTGGATTAGAGTATGATCTAACCTAGAGAATGTTGCATGTGTACTTAAAAATAATTTGTATTCTGAAGTCTTTGGAGTGTTTCATAATGCCAGATGAAGTTGGCTGATAGGTGTGTTGAAGACTTATGTATCTTTGTTGATTTTCTGTACAGTTGTTCTATCATTTATTAAAGGAAAAATATTTCATAATAATAAAAATATTATATCAAGAATAAATAAGAATTAACAACTTATATACACACTTCACAACAACGCCTCAAAACACATAAATTAAAAATTGACAGATCTGAAAGGAGAAATAAGCAATTTAACAATAACAGCTGGAGATTTCAGCAGCCCACTCTTAATGGTATTTCTGGTCTTAAAGTTAATTTTGTTTGATACTACTATAGCAACTTCAGCTCTCTTACAGCTACTGCTTTATTGTATATTTTTTCCACCCTTTTACCTCCAAGCTATTTGTGTCTTTAAAACTAAGATGTATCTCTTGTAAATAACATGTAGTTAGATCTTGTTTTTTTGTCAAGCCTGACAACCTCTACCTTTTGAGTAAGGTGTTTAACTCATCCACACTTATTTAATTATTGATATCATTGGATTATGTAGACAACTTTGTTGTTTGGTTTCTACTTTTCTCAGGTTGTTATATTCCTATGCTTTTCTTTTGCTAGCTTCTTTTGCATTAAGTAATATTTAAGTCATGGGTGTCCGACCTAAGGCCTGAGGGCTGCAAGTAGCCCAGGATGGTTATGAATGAGGCCCAATGCAAAATCGTAAATTTACTTAAAACATTACTTAGTTTTATTACTTAGATATGTACATTTTCTATATAAGTGATCGTAAACTTGGGACCTGCTCGACGATTTTAAAAGATTATCAAAAGGGCTGCTGCATAATTAAGGTTATTACATGAGGACTGTTTTGCTTACCTGTGGTGGCAGATATCATGAGAATTATGCATGGACCTTTCTTTTGCTCATCATTTTTCATTAGTGTTTGTGTATTTAATGTGTGGCTCAAGACAAGTCTTCTTCCAGTATGGTCCAGAGACACCAAAAAGTTGGACACCCCTGATTTAAGTGTTCTAACCCAAGAGGAAAATCTTCTAGATATAGTGCTAGGTTAAGAGTATTAAACATGAATCCAAAAACATAGTTTCTAAGAGGAAACAATGACAAATTGGACTTCATCGAAATTAAAATTTTTTGTTCTATGAATTATCTTTTTAAGAGGATGAAAAGATAGGTTACAGGCTGGGAGTAAATATTTGCAAACTATATATTTGACAAAGAACTTGTCTCTGGAATATATAAAGATATCTCAAAACTCAAGTAAAAAAAAAATCTAATTGGGAAATGGAAAAAAGACATAAACAGATATGTCACCACAAAGGAGATATAAATCACAAAAGAGCATACAAAAATTTGTTCTACATTATTAATTATTAGGAAAATGCAAAGTAAAACCACAACAAGATATCACTACACATCTGTTAAAATAGCTAAACTAAAAAAATATAACACCAAATTCTGAAAAAGACACAGAGAAACTGAATCTCTTTTCTGGTGTGAATGTAAAATGGTACAGCTACTCTGTAAAACAGTTTCCCATAATATATCTCCCAGCAACTCGTGGAGCATTTATCCCAGACAAATGAAAATGTATGTTTATACAATAACCTGTTCATAATGTTTATAGCATGCATGAATGCTTATTTGTAATAGCCCAATACAAGAAACAACCCAAATATCTTTCAACACGTTAACGGTTAAACAAACTCTGGGACAATCTTACAATAGAAAACTGCTCAGTAATAATGAGGAACAAACTATTGATATATCCAACAACTTGGATGGATTTCAAGGGCATAGCGAAAATTTCATTAATGCTTAGTGAAAAAAAAAAGGCAATTTCAAAAAGTAATGTACTCTATGTAATTCCATTTGTATGATATCTTCAAAAAAACAAAACTATAGAGATGGAGAACAGATTTTCAGGGTACAAAGGTGAGGTGAGGACTGGGTTTGACTATAAAGATGCAGCAACACAAGAGTTTTCTTATGATGTTAGAACAGTTCTTATGTATTCTGATTGTGTTCCTGGTTATATAAACTTTTACTTGCAATCAAATTGCACAGAACTACATGCACACATACACACAAGTACCTGTAATACTCAGTGAAAACTAAATACAGTCTGCAGTCTAGTTAACAGCATTATGTCAATGTCAATTTTTTGGTTTCTCATATCATATTAATTATATAAGATATTGCCACTGGGGGAAGCTGATCAAAGGGTTTAAGAGACTTTATGTACTATTTTAGCACCTTCCCACTGAAACTAAATCAATTCAAAACAAAAAGTTAAAAACAAAACACATACACACTCATACAAGAACTGTCTATTCCAACATATCAATCTATACCTCAATTTTCATTTGATGATAACATTTCTTCTTAGAGTTTTTCCTCTTTTCCTGGCTTGCCAGACTGGTCTCTTTCTCCATCAGAGTCAAAACTGAGGTGAGGTAGGGGTACAAAGTAAGGAGGAAAGCAAGAAGGGGAGAGAGGATAGGACGCTTCTCTCTGATTGGTGCTGTATTAGGACAGCCTCGTGTTCTTCAGGCCGGGCAGGAGTGTGAAGTGGTGCTCTCTCATCAGCATTGTCACGGGTTTTATGGAGACTCCCCTGTTGAGCCTTCAGATCACAGCTCCCTGAGTAAAAATGAGACCTCTTCAATGGCCAGCCAGCCCAGCCTCCTCTGCCTCTTTTCCCACTGATGCACCCTACACTTCTGAGTGCATAGCCCTGGCAAATCACCCCCTGGGTAGAATTTCTTTTAATGCAACCCTATGCCAGCATTCTCTGTGGCTTCCACTGCTGGTAACTGGAATGCCCACACCTTTGATCTGTTGACAACAGTGGATGAAGTTTCTGCCCAAAGGCAGTGTCAACCGTGTGGCCACAGGCCACTTCGGCTTTCTCAAAAGTGAACTTGTCATCAGTTCTCTGTGCACTCCTCCACTCTGGTAAGGTCTCTCTAGAACACTCATAACAGCATGAACATGAGATACCACCGGTACCAAGCAAAAATACATTTACTTCTGATATCACTGAATTTGGCCTTAGAAACAAAACCTATGGATGGCTGAATTAGCCTTAACTGCAACTTGTCTAATTCATTTTTCACACCTAATAGAGAAACAAGGCAATATATTGAATTTAGATTGAACAGGCCATTTTTATTCTTATACAAAACATGCAGCCAATCCTGAAACGCATTTCTGGATCGTTATAACATTACTGTTTAGCAACCAATTAAACATGCACACACACACAAATCAACTTTAACCAGACAGACTTTTTATTGTACATAAGCATAGATCTTTGTACAGCCTAAAGACTGCAGCTTGAGCAAGACTCTAAAATGACACACTAATAAGCAAGGAAAAAAAGGGTTACAGTAAATGTTCCAGCAGAACTTGAGGAAACTAACAGACAGAATCCTAAATTGGATATGTCACATTTTGGCAATAGCAGCCACTTGTGATTAGTGTGAAACAAGGCGCTAACAGGCTAAAGGCCCACAAGAAGCCAAAATCAGTGGAAAACAAATGAACCTCCAACACACAATGTAATTGAAGACAACTCAATCATTGAAGGCTTCCTTATAGTGTCAGCAATTCCACTACTCCTCAGCATATAGATATGAACTCGTTTTTCATTCCCCACCTTCACATTGTGCAGACTTTCTGTGTCCTGCATTTACCTCCTCAAGCCCACCTTCTGCCCCTGTCTTGGGGCTCATGCTCTCTAGCTTGGTCTCTCTGGGTTTCTTCTGCTACATCTGATTTCTCTTGCACAAATTAACAAATCTTTCTCAAATGCCATTTTCACCTCACCACACCTGGGTCAAGAACTCACTGTTATTCTCACTGGTTCTCTGATTCCTACAAACTCTTTAACTCAATTTTAGGAGGAAAACAGGAATGTACCTTTATCTTAAGACAGAGACTCATGGAGAATACATGAAAACTCAAACACATTTGAATGTTCTCTAGTATTTCTGAAGACCCAGTCAGGGAGAAAACAACATCTCTAGCCAGAGACAGGGTTGAGGGTCTCAGATTCTCAGCACTGAAGGTAAGGTGCAGCTCATAGTAATGGCATACGAAGGCATGGGCATGGCTCTGACCATCTGGATGAAGAAGGCTCTCCTTACCCCACCCTGTACTTTGGTAGTCAGCTCCAGCAGCTACAATAGCAGCAACACAAGTAGTGGGTGCGTGCTCTACTATTGCAAGATGTCCTTAAATGTTGGCCATTATTCCCTTCTTCATATGGCTAGAGAAGTTGTGCATACAGAAACTAATCCAATGCTGAATGTCTAAGTGTTAACATTAATGTATGATCAAAGCTACCTCTCATGGGTTGAATTGTGTCCAAGTCCTAATCCTCTGTACCTGTGACTATGACCTTATTTGTAAATAAGGTCTTTGCATATATGATTAAATTAAAGACATCCTGGTAAGATCAGCCTTGATTTAGGGTGGACTCTAAATTCAATAATTGACACCCTTATGAGAAAAAGAAGAGGGGTGTTTGAAGCACACACATAAAGAATAAGGCCAATTGAAGAGGAAAGCAGAGATTGGAATTATGTAGCTACAAGCCAAGGAACACTAAGGGTTGCCTTGTTGTTAGCCACCAGAAGCCAGGAGAGAGGCATGAAAAGGAATCTCCCTCAGAACCTCTAGAGTCCAGTATCTAGATGGAACCAACCCTGTCAACAACTTGACTTTGGATTTATGACTTCCAGAACTGTGAGAGGATAAATTTCTGTTGTTTTAAGTTATCAAATTGTGGTAATTTGTTACAGTGTCCATTTGGAAACTAATTCACCACTACAGTAGAATGAACTTTTGGAAACACGAATAAATCTGAAATTGCATACAAAAAAAAATTTATTATTATTTTAATTGTATTATCAAAGTTTTATAGTAAAATTTTTTAAGTTATTATAGTATAGCAATAATAATTTCTCAATTGCCACATTTTACCCATGGTCACTACAGTACATACTCATGATATGAATAGATGCTTACTCTCAACTAAAGTTAGTGGAAGAGCAAGATTTCTAAGGTATTTCATTTTTTCTCCATAATGTTTTTATTTTCTTTATAATTTTATAGGTGTATATCTAAGATGGTTGATCATGGACATTGTTATATACAGTTTAAGAGTTTAGTCACCAAATCAAAATTAAAGGAAGTAATAAAGGAACTTTTTAAGAAGAAAAAGGAAAAAATAAAAATATGAATAAGAAAATATTACAAAGAAAAAAATTCTTACTGACAAAGTCAAACACATAATAAAAACAGTGGATCAACAAACATTAAAGCTAGTCCAAAAGTTAAAAAGAAGAAGTAGGAAGATCATGTGTTACTACAACAGTGGGCTAAGAGATACGCATAAACAAAAAACAATAAATAAATAAACAATGACAAAACATAAATGTGGAGGGGGTGAGTAAAAAATGTGTGTGATTTTAGAATATGTCCAAACTTAAGTGACCACCAACTTAAAATAGACAGCTATAAATACAGCTTGGTGTATATGAAGCTCATCCTTTCAACCTCATTGCCACTTTTTAAAAATGCTATTTTCTAAAGAGAACTCAATTCAAGCCAAATAATTCTTAGATTTCATTCAAAGTAATTTATTTTAGAAATTGTCAAAAGATCTTTGACAAATGCTATTCTTTACTTATAGTACTCTGAGACTCAAGCCCACATTTAGCAATATAATATTGGTCAATTCACTTTATATGCCCCCTGCCTCTGACATACTCCTATTGTCAGTTCTTTTTTATTCAGACCATGCTATGGACCCTTGAATATTTAACAGATACAAAATTTAGTGAGAAAAAAATGTGTAACATACCCAGCCTGGTCCATGGCTCATTGTAAAATGGTAGAAAAGATACACCTATGTTCATAGTAGCATTGTTCACAAGAGCCAGAAGGTGAAAGCAACTTGTTTTCATCAGCAAATGAACTGATAAACAAAATATGATATGTATAAAAAAATGAAACGTTAACTAGCCTTAAACAGGAAGAGGATTCTGACACGTGCTACAACATGGATGAACGTTACAGATACTGTGCTAAGTGAAGTAAGCCAGTCACAGAAGGACAATTACTGTATGATTCCACATTACATGAGGTTTCCAGAGTTGTCAAAAGTGGGAGCTTGGCTGCCAGAGGAGGGAGGAGTGTGGGGAGTTGCTCTTTAATGGAGACAGTTTCAGTTTTGCAAGATGAAAAGAGTTCTGAAAATGGATTGAAGGTGATGGTTGTACAATGTGAATGTACTTAATGGCATTAAATTGTACACTTAAAAATGGTTAAAAAGATAAATTTTATGTTGTGTATATTTTACACAGTTTTAAAAAACAATACAAAAGAAAACCCCATCCCCTAATGGAGACTGTCCTACCTAAACACTGGTGGTCTCAACGACACACACCATTTCCCCTGTGGATTGCTCAGCTCTCTCATAAAGAGCAGAATGTGTGTGTATATCCACAAATTTCACTTCCTCTTGTGACTTCAGCCCCATTCTCCAAGGAGATTTGTCCAGACCAGTAACTGATGGCCTATACCACGTGACCACTACTCACTTCTTTCCAATACCGCTTGGTCAATGTTGTGAGACATCCAGTCAGGAATCTGAAGAATCAGAAAAGGGTATCAAGAATGCACAGATTGCCTAATCTGATCCAGGGTCATGGAAAATGGAGGTAACTGCTTCCTGAGCACTGACGTCTTCTGTATTGTACCCTCCCAACAAGGCCCTGGCAACATAAACTATGATAGCCGGGCGCCTGTCGTCATTGGCATTGGTGGATCATGCCGATCTACTGAAAGAGAAATATATTCCCAAACCCATGTGAGCCAATAGTGTGCAATCTGAGTTCAAGCTGTGTGGCTGTTTTTCCTTGTGTGACTGGGAATACAGCAGGGCTGGGGATGATCAGAAAGAACAAAAAGTCCAAAATGTGATAGAGAAAGTCCCTGAAAGCAAAAAGAGCCACAGGGACACCTGGGGAGCTTGCATTATCCTGCACTTGGTAGAGGTTTTGACTGTAATTTTTGCCACCATCAGGGTTTTGGCGCTAACCTAAACCCTGCCTCTACTCAGGCTCCGAATGTCAAGTCATACTTTCTGGGTAAACAGAAACAGGAGAGGAAGCAAAAGGCCCAGTGGCTATAGACCACTTTAAAAACCAAGTCAAGTGGATTTTTTTTTTTAAGTATAGTAATGACTTTGGTAGAGGGAGAGAAAAGGGGAAAGGCACTAATAACACCGATTTTTACCATTCTTTCATATGTTAGGTAGAAAAGTAAGCACGCAGGGACAGCTCTTTATATTTCTTGGTTTCCTTTAGGCTTTGTGAATAGCTTTTCCTGAAAGAAAGTAAAACTCCTATTAAAAATCAGACAAAAATAGATTTTCACATACTAATGAAAAAGTAAGACAAAAACTTGGTGCCAGATCCATGGTTCCCTTTCCTGTAGTCACTGGAAGACGATGGATTTTATTAGGACTCCCATCAATCTTTTTCTTTTATTAAAACTTTTCGTTTTACAGTTACATCAATAGTATAATATTTAAATGAAATAAAAATACTAAGTTCCCTGGCTGAAGGTGG